ATCCTGGAGTCCCAGGATCGAGTCCCGCATCGGGCTCCCTGCTCGGCAGGGAGTCTGCTTCTCCCTCTGACCCTCCTCCCTCTCACGCTCTCTGTCTCTCATTGTCTCTCTCTCAAATAAATAAATAAAATCTTTAAAAAAAAAAAAAAAGTATCAACAAGAATAAAATACTTAGGAATAAATTTAACAAAAAGTACCAGATCTATACTCTGAAAACCATAAAACATTGTTAAAAGAAATTAAAGAATATGTAAATAAATGGAAAGACATCTCATATTCATGGGTTGGAAGACTTCATATTGTTTAGATGACACTACTCACCAAATTAATCTACAGATTCAACACAACCCCTATTAAACTCCCAATGTCCTTTTTTTAGTAGAAAGTGACAAACTGAGGGGAACCTGGGTGGCTCAGTCAGTTAAGTGGCTGACTCTTGGTTTCAGCTTAGGTCATGATCTTGGGTTGTGAGACTGAGCCTCCATCAGGTTCCGTGCTGGGCAGAGGAGCCTGCTTGGAATTCTCTCTCTCCTTCTCCCTCTGCCTCTCCCTTCTCCCCCTCTCTAAAAAAAAGAAAAGAAAAGGAATTGATAATCTGATCCTAAAATTCATATGGAAATGCAAGAGAGCCAGAATATCCAAAACGATTTCTAAAAAGAACAAAATTGGAGAACTCACACTTCCCAGTTTTGAAATTTACTACAAAGCTACAGTAATCAAGACTATATAGCACTGGCATTAGGACAGACATACAGATCAACTGAATGAAACTGAGAGTCCAAAAATAAATTCATACTTTAATGGACAGTTAATATCAACAAGGGTGCTAAGACAGTTCAACAGGAGAAAGAATAAGCTTTTCAAAGGATAGTCTTTGGGGTGATGAAAATGTTGTGTTGGAACAACTGGCTTTCTATATGCAAAAGAGTAAAGTTGGACCTTTACCTCACACCATATACAAAAATTAACTCAAAACAGATCAAAGATCTAAAACTCTATAAAACTCTTAGAAGGAAACATAGACAAAAATCTTCCTGACTTTGGGTTAGGCAATAGTTCACCAAAAGAATAAGAAACAAAAGAAAAAAACAGACAACTTTGACTTCATCAAAATGAAAAGCTTTTGTTCTTCAAAGGACACTATCAAGAAAATGGAGGGGCGCCTGGGTAGCTCAGCCGGTCAAGCATCTGACTCTTGATTTCAGCTCAGGTCATGATCTCAGAGTTGTGAGATGGAGCCCCAAGGTGGGCTCCTCGCTCAGCAGGGAGTCTTCTTGAGATTTTCTCTCTCTCCCTCTCCCTCTGCCCCTCCCAGCTCTCTTGCACTCTCTCTCTCTAAAATAAATAAAGTTTAAAAAAAAAAAGAAAATGGAAAGACAAGCCACAGAACAAGAGAAAATATTTTCAAATTATAGATCTGATAAGGGATTTGTATCTAGAATATATAAAGAACTGTTACAGCTCAACAATAAAAAAAAGACAACCCAATCAAAAATGGGCCAAGGATCTGAGTAGCCATTTCTCCAAACAAGATAAACAAATTGCCAATAGGCACGTGAAAAAATACTTAATCTCATTAGTCACTACAGAAATATCAATCAAAACCACAATGAGGGATGCCTGGGTGGCTCAGTCATTAAGCATCTGCCTTCAGCTCAGGTCATGATCCCAAGGTCCTGGGATCGAGTCCCACATCGGGCTCCCTGCTTGGCGGGAAGCCTGCTTCTCCCTCTCCCACTCTCCCTGCTTGTGTTCCCACTCTCGCTGTTAAAAAAAAATAAAAATAAAAATAAAATCTTTTTTAAAAAAAGAAAAAAAACCTCAATGAGATACCGCCTCACCCACGAGGATGACTATAATCGAAAAGACAGTAACAGGTGTTGACAAGGATGTAGAGAAATCAGAACCCTCATACCATGCTGGTGGGAATGTAAGATGGGTAGCCACTTCAGAAAATAGCTTGGCAGTTCTTCAAAAAGTTGTGCGTAGAGTTACCATACGACCCAGAAAGTGCACTCCTAGTTAAATACTCAAGATAAATGAAAACATATGTCTACACAATGTTCATAGCTGCATTATTCATGATAACCGAACCATAGAAATAACCCAATGTCCATCAGCTTGGTGAACAGGTAAACAAAATGTGTTATAGCCGTACAATGGAATATTTTTCAGCCACAAAAAGAAATGAAGTATTGATTACATGCCTGGATAAAGAGACGGATGAGTCCTGAAAACATCATGCTGAAAGAAGCCAGACACAAAAAGCAACCTATTGTATGATTCCATTTATATGAAATGTCCAGAACAGACAAATCCAGAGAGAGAGAAAGTGGATTAGCACTTGTCAGGGGCTGGGGGGAGGGAAATCGGGAAAAACTGCTAATGAGTCATGAAAATGCCTTGGAATTAGATAGTGTGATAGATGCGCAAGTTTGCCAATACACTAAAACCCACCAAACTGTCCACTTTATAAGGGTGAATTTTATGCTATGTGAACTATATCTCAATTTTCAAAACTATTTAAACCTAAAATAATTACACTGGTGCTCTATAGTACAATCTTGAAGAAAACAACAGAACAGATCCCAAATAACTTGTAAAGATTCAACGTATCATAAAAGAAGCACGTCTGTTTATAAGAACATGTGTGTTCATAGAGAAATACACAGAAATGTTAACAAGCATTGTGTCTGGGTGGTAGCCTTGTGGGTGATTTTTATTTCCTTTTATTTTTTGTATTTTCTAAATTTTCTACAATGAGTCAGAACAAAAATAAACATGTTTTTTAAAAAACAAAGTGCGTCAATGTATAATTAAGTCCCAGGCTCCGGAGTGCTGAGATGAGGGAGGCCAGCAAGGGAGCTCTCCGCGGAGCCGGCACGGGGAGGGGCTCTGGGGAAGGAAAGATCGGAGAGCCAGCAATGGAAGGAGACTCATAGCTTCATGTCACCTCTGTGTCTCACCTTTTCCCTGGATCTTCTACCCACGCCATCACCAGGCCCCGGCAATGGAATCTCAAGGCCGCGCCCCCTCCTCTTGAGCCCAGGGTCATTGTTGTGGCCTAGGCCCTAACCTGCAGTGGCCTAGGCCCTATCCTGCAGTGGCCTCCTAACTGGCCTCACTGTCCCCCCTTCAGCTAGGTCCACTGTGCCCTCTCAAAGGCATAGGTTCGTCTCCATGAGAACCCTGCAGTGGCCTCCACTACCTCTGAGACAGTCCCTGGCTGGCCGTCTAAGGCTCCAGACCTCTCTACGTGTCTTCTCCCAGGCAGGCTGGCTCATGGTGCTGCAAGCGAGGAAAACTAGGCCTGTCCCAAGCAGAGCTGCCGTTCCCTGAATCCAGCGTTACACCTCCCATGCCTCCGATCCGCTGCCTCCACACTTTGCTCAGGCTCCTCCCCTCCCAGCAAAAAGCTGTCCTTGGACCTCCACCTGTCCACCTTGTAGCCTACCTTCAAAACCCAACACAAGTGTGGTCTCTTGCACGGAGCTCTGCTGATTGTCCCAACCACAGGGCATCCCACACACCGCGAGGCTCTCTTCTCATCTCAGAAGCTGGGTTGTCAGGCTGCTGGGACTACCAGCACTGTGACTCCGTGCGACCTGATGGCCACAGTTAGAATCAGATGATGTGGGTTCTCTAAAGCCCTAAAAGCTTTGGGAAAGATAGCTATATCTCTGCGCATACGTACTTAGAGGCCCTTTATGTTCAGCGTCTCCCTCCTGCCCTTGCTCTAGGTTCCACGTGGAGCTACCCAACTGTGCTACCAGCAGAGTGATGCTCCCCCTTTGATGTGAGAGGGAATCAAGGACTGTGTTCTTTATGTGTCCAACCTCCATGACAAGACTGACCCAGAAAAGCTCTCGGTAGCTTCTCATTTTATGAAAGACCCCAGCTTAGCTGGACCACGTGGAGGTGACCATGACCTCGGAGGATGAATTTGGGTTTGAAATTCCTGAGACGGATGTGGAAAAGTTCAGGTGTCCACAGGAAATGGTATATTACACTGCAGATAAGAAAACTATCTGTGCATAATGCATCAGACCCCCCCCCTTTTTTTTTTTTACTGAGAGAAGCCTCAGACAATACCGCTGAGAATCTGGAAGTAAGAACACATTTTGGCATCCTTGCTTTCTTGGACAGCATCATTCTGTTGGACTTGTATTTAAATTATCTAAATATTTTGCCCTTTAAAAATAAATATATAAAACCAAAAAAGAAAAAAAAAAAGAAACTAGGTTGTCAAACTTCTCACCTCTGCAGAGTAGTAGGAGTTGGATGTTAGATACAGATTTGAAATCTCAGCTCTGATGCTTGGTGCCATGGAGAACTTGGCACAGCACCTGACACTGCAGGACCCCAGCTGTGTTAGCTGCCCCCTTCCCACTGCACTCTGACCAGCCATATCCTATCATATCCTGTTTATGAATACGCCCTGTACATCCTGACTGTAAACTCACTGAAGGCCGGTGGTCCGGTGAAGGTGCTCACCATGGATCTGCACGATGAGAGGGATATGGGATGGGTGAGACACACTCACTCACTGCAGGGTGACTGACCCCCTGAAAGGACCACTCCTGGGGGCAGGGGTTGGGGGAGAACCTATCCCTCTCTGGGTAATCTAGTTTTGCAGCAGAGCCTGGCAGGGGGTGGAAGACCACAGTCCTGGCCTCCAGAGTCTGTCTTGCTCAGCTCCTCCCAGCCAGGGTTTCTCTGAGCCACCCAAATCATCCTCCTCAGGTCCCCTCACTAGTGCAAAATGATGACACTGTGGGAAACAATTCTGGAGTTTAGTCTAATAATAGGACCACCATTTATTGTGCACTTAGGATATACCTGGTTTAGATTCTATATACTATCTATACATTACCCCGTGAATCTTCCTAACAATCACTTTATCATCCCCAGTTTACAGATTACGAAACCAAGGCTCAGAACAATTTGCCCATGATCCTTAATCTAGAAAATGGCAGAGCTGGATTCCCAAAGAAAAGCAGCAGCTATTTCCAGAGAAAGACCCTAAAATCACAACCCACCCTTTGAGCTGAAAGGAGACAAATTATCTGGGCCACCACAATCTAGAGCCCTAGACTGAGCCAAGACTCAAAGAATGCTAGACCTGTACCAAGGTGTTCCCAGGCTGGATATGTGAGGGTTTTGACTAAGGGGTCGGGTGAGAGAGCCCATGCATGTGCCTGGCACAGCACCAGGCACCCAGCAAATGCTCCCCAAGACTTAATTTCCTTCTGCCTTCTGACTTCCCAGACTCAGAGCAGCTTGGGCCCAGTCAGATTCAGAACACTTGTCAGGTCATACTAAGGAGAGAGATGAACCAAGAAGGGTAGCCACCTGCCCTGGGCTAGGCATGGAGCCCTTTCTCACAACTTTCCAGACTCACAAGGTGACCACTGAGTGTCCCAACACCCCGCCCCCCACCCCAGTTCTGAAACAAGATATCTAGATGGTACCTAAAGAGTATTTATTGTCTGTACCCATACCCTGTCCCTCTCCCACCAATTTGAATTCTGATCAGCTTCTCCTCCAGGTCCCGCAAAGACAAGAGAGTTCTGCTTGAATCTTTCCTTCTCTGCTCTGCTAGGGCCTCCCCTCCTGTCTTCCTGGTTATAAAGACTGAGGATCCATGCTTCTGGTACCTAGTGTTCCCCATGTGCCCATCAGACTCAGAGTCAGATGGAATCAGTCTAGGAGGACTTCCTGGAGGAGATGAATGTTGCATTGATATAGGAAGTAGAGAGGTAAGGCTTGACAGAAAGGAAGAGGAAAAGTGTCCTAGGCTGAGAAAGGGCTTAAGCCAAACTTGGGAGGTAGAAGAGGACAGGTTTGGGGAGGTAGGGGTCAGTGACTTTGCAGGAGCAGGTGGAAAGCAGGGACACCAACATGAAAGCAGACAGAACTCAAATGAAGATCTGCCCCAGCTAGTCCTTGGGGGGCTGTGGGTTGTTTCTTTTTTTTTTTTTTAAAGATTTTATTTATTTATTCATGAGAGATAGAGAGAGAGAGAGAGAGAGGCAGAGGCAGAGGGAGAAGCAGGCTCCCCGCGGAGCAGGGAGCCCGATGCGGGACTCGATCCCAGGACCCTGGGATCATGACCTGAGC